GCAGAGCCCCTGCAGAGCGAACCGAGCCCGATGCAACAGCAATTGCAGCAACAGCAGCAAATGTGGCAGCAACTGCAGCAGCAGCAGTAGTAGCAAAGGCAGAGACTCCCAAGAACTGCGGAAGCAGTCTTGAACGTCTCCACACTGCTGCTGCTGCTGCTTGCTGCAGTATCAACCCTGTTGCGGGGCCTCTCTGGGGCCCCACAGGGGCCCCCAAGGGGGCCCCCAGCTGCAGCAGAACTCACAGATACATTGAAGTGTACGAAGTCAGCTGTTTCTCCCGCCGATGGTCTCTGCAACCATAGCAGCAGCAGCAACAGCAGCAGCAGGTGCAGCAGCAGTAGGTGCAGCAGCAGCAGCAGCAGCAGCAGCGGGCCCCACGGCCCCGGCCCCTGTGGGGCCCCACAGGGGCCCCAGGAAGACCCCGTGAGGGCTTTATGAGGCCCCTGTGGGGGCCTCATAGGGCCCCCAAAGGAGCCCCATGAAGGCCCCCACTGGGCCCTGTGGGGCCCCACAGGGGCCCCTAGTAGGGCCCCCAGATAGCCTTCATGGGGCCGCTGTGGGGCCCCCTAGGGGCCCCTTGGGGGCCCCCAAAAGGCCCCTAGATTGCCCCCAGGGGGCCCCTAGGGGGCCCCTATGAAGCCTTTTGGGGGCCCCCAGCAGGCCCCTAGGGGGCCCCTAGGGGGCCCCTAAGGTATGTTGTAAGATTACCCAAATGGGTTTGCTTCTTGTGGCTTTTCTTTCAATCAAAATGGACTTGGGACTTTTGCTGCAGTGAGAAGACAGCAGCAAACGCTGCAGCAATCTGCTGCTCAGCGCCCGCAGCCTGTCGGGGGCCCTCCTGTACCTGCGCAGCAGCAGCAGCAGCAGCAGCAGCGGCAGCAGCAGCAGCGGGAAGATTGCAGAGGAGTACGCGCAGCTAGTTCGCAGCTGCAGCAGCAGCAAGGAAAGAAACCAGTGGCAGCAAAAGCAGGTGCAGCAGCAGCAACAGCTGCAGCAGCAACAGCTGCAGCAGCTACAGCTGCAGCAGCTACAGCTGCAGCAGCCACAGATGCA